AAGATATCTGAACCCGACAGGTTTAACCAGCGGCCGTATTTCACACAGTTAAGGCAGAAGCAAACCAGATACCAGGAACTTGTTTGCTGTAATGTTCACATTCTGGATTAAAACTGGCGAAAGTGAAAAGCCCATGGGCTAGACTGTCAGCCTGCTACTGTAATGGAGGTGCTTTGGAGATTGTTGCTTGAATGACCCCCCCCCCACCTCCTCTTCCTGTACACCTGGGAACTCGTGTTAGCTCCATGAGTGAACACCTTAGACTGACCTATAAAAGGCTTCCACTGGCTCCCTGAGCAAATGTCAGAGTGTAGGCTTAATGTGTTATTGCAGGTAGACATTAGTTTACAGGAGATCCCATTTCAGGCCCTATAGGTTACATTACCAGTTGTTGATTATGTATCGCCCCAGTCTAGATTTCCACACGTTTTTCCGGCACAGATTACAATCATCCATCTTTGAATTGTATTTGGCCCAGCCATATTAAACCACATTCCTCTTTGTCCAACAGTTACGCAGCCGCTTAATGCCAAATACACATCTTCTCTTGCTTGGAAGTCTGTGTTGTCTCTGAATCTTTGCTGGGCTTTTGGCTGATTCTTCTCCTTCATGGTCTTTCTACGGTTAATATTTCCTGCAATGACAGCATTCTCAGGGTCACCAGAGGTTAATACACCACTACTGATACTATAACAAGTTCTTCCTCTGGCAAGTCATTTTGTCCTCCAGATCTCTTCTCTCCCTTTTCCCTCCACTCCCGCTCCACCTCAATTACCAGAAACTGAGCAACGGATTGTGGGAAATTAGCTCTACATAGAAGCTCTGTGTGTGCGTGTGTGTGCGTGCGTGTGGGTGTGTGCGCGTGCGTCTGTGTGTGTGTGTAATGCAGTGCTGGGTAGCTCGACTGGACCTCTTGCTAATAGGTTAGTACAAGCGGTGTGTGGACTACATAGTTACAGCAGTCACGGTGCAAGGCCCCGAGAATACAGACTGCCTCTTCACTGGGCTTCACATAATGCAAACGCACAATACCAATTTGCCTGTTCAACTGCCTGTAGCTGATTAGTATAGTTCACTTAAAATGATGTAGTTTGGTGGGAAAGTATACTGCAGTATTTCAACCTTAAGTGTAATGAAATGCAGTAGTAAGCTGTACCCTTAACAAGCCCAATATCTGCAGCTAAACAATCTCTCTAAAGGGAGGCTGTGTTGCTGAGAGCTTTTCAGTTTTGCTGATGTGTTAACACACCTTGATTAGGTGTATTGAGCTACGTCGATGTTCCGCTTGTCATTTACATTTGCCAAAAGAAAGAATGAAAGAAAGCATTGTATTAAACATTTTCTAGGTGTACTACATAGCTGTCGTACCTCAATTGTATCTATTCTAAACTGTTTTATTATGTAACCAAGTCATTGACTCAACACTACTCCACTCAGGCGGTAAGCATGCCTGAAGTCTTGGTACATTTGCCACATCAGACACATTGCCACACAAGATGTCACCTCGGATTCAGTCGGCTCCTTTTTACAAGTGACTCTTAATGTTTTCCTTCAACAGCCCTTCACTGGGACCTGAGCGGAAATTCTGGAGACTGTAAATTAAACCAGATTTAAATAGATCTGTCTACAATGTTAATACAGTAACTTTAAAACATAGTCAATATTTGATCTGGTCTTGCTCTCATTTTCAATATGATGATATACACAGTGTTAAGTAGCAACATACATTTGAAAACAGCATTGATAAATAATAATAATAATAATGATTTGAGAAAAAATATCCATTTTAAATTTATTGACTTAGTTCACATGACTCATCGTCAACGCAAGAGCTAATGTTGAAGTCTATTTAATTTCTAGAGATTCAAAACACAAAATCTCAACAATTTTAATGGTTTTATTAAAGCAAAGCTTTGACTCTGTGTGCAATGTGATACTGTTTTCTAGTGGGATTAAGGCCATTTTACTTCAGACTGAAAGCTTGATATATGAACTAGCTGCAACTAGTTTTGATTGTTGGAAAATGTATCTGCTGTACACTATTTTGATAATTGCGTAATTGTTGTTTCAGAAGCAAAAAGGCCATTAGTGTACTGTACTTGTTCCAGCTTCTCAAATGTCAATATTTCCTGTTTTCTTAGTGCTTTTAATAGTTAATAGATAATGTTTGCATTTTGGATTGCTGGTCAGACAAAACAGACAATTTTATTTAATCAACTTGAGGTCTAGGAAATTGTGATAGGCATTTTTCAATATTTTCCTTTTATATGCATCTTATAGAGAAAGTTATATAGATTTATGATTAATTGATAATCTAAAAAATAATCAGAAGATTATATAAGGAAAATAATAAATTACATCCATTCCAAACATTTGCAGGAACTGTTAATTTATTGACAAAATGTAGTGTGATGCTTGGGAAATAACTACTGGCCACAACCACATCTGAAATCTAGATTTTTATGAACCAAGGGTTGGATTATTAACAGAATTTTATCCTCATTAATAAGCAGGGAAACATGTTGTGTTTTCTGGCCACACCACTTTGCCAATTCTCTGGTAATGCCTAACTAATCCTATCCTAAAATTTTCATCAATGTGGAACACATTAAACAAAATAATGTTTGTCAATCTGTCTCTTCTACCCCTTCTTAGGATCCGAGATGTTCTCCCCAAATCCATCACCAAACCTAGCCAAAATCGATGAAGTAATACCTGATTTAATGTGTTGCAACATTATTTCTTATTCCACACCAACACTACCAATTCAGACGCTCTGCTTTGGAGTGCTGCAAAGTCTCAAACAGAAAATATTGATCCCGAAAATGGAAGTCCAAATATATCCACACTGACACAATTAACATAGCGGTTAAAACACACAACAGCACACCTTGTTAGAGCCTCCAGCAGTGATTGCACAATAAAGCTATGCAATAACAGTTAACCTGACCACATTACACTGCTGGTAATTGTGATTAGTAAAGAGGAAAGCCATAGCGAGGAGAGACGAGATCCAAATGCTGTGGGTTAAATTACAGAATCTGGCCCTGTTTCCAGGGTGTGGATCAACTACATAGCCCACAATGAAGAGCCAGTGCTGAGGGAGAGAATTTAAACCCTGTTTATCAGAATGCTCTGGGTGTTGCAGCTTATTAAAGTGCCAGGTGCTTTTGAAAAATAATACCCCCTCTCTTTCTCTCTTTCTCTCTCACTCTCCTTCTACTAGCTCCATGTCTGCCTCCCCTCCACCCTCCCCTGTCCAAACCAGGCTCCAGCCCGTGCTGGAGCAGAGGTTGAAGAATGAACCCTTGGCTTGGCTTCGCCAGTGGGGCAAACTGCAGCGTTTCTGCTGCCTTCAGAACTTTTTACTTATTTATTTATTTCATTTTATTTTTTCCCCCACATGTCCCCTGTGGCCACTGAGGTGGAAACAGTGAGGGTGATGAAATTAAACCATTTCTTTCTTTTCGTGTTCTCACTTTCCAGGCGCCGTCACACATCTCCTTTTGATTCTTTCCATTTCATCCCTCGTCTCTCTTGACTTTTCATATGATGTGGTGCGCGCTCTTATACGCCAAAAATATCTCAAGCACCATCAACCCTATCTGTTCAGTAAGAGGCAGTTACATATATTGCACACTTCAACTGTGGAGCTTCTGCCATAGCAGGAAATAGAGGACACTAATAACATGATGCTAGAACAGACACTACATAAAAAACAAGATTTTTCAATCAATATCTGTTACTGAAAGAACTGTATCACCATCTGGCAAACCATAAATGGTAGATAAAAAGGTAAAATGTGGTCACTTGGTGGATTTGCTGGCCTTACAACGCTTAAGCATTTACTGTTGAATGTGCCCCATTTCATAAAAGGGCTGAAAACTGAGTTATAATGTGCCAAAAATTCCCACACTCACTAGGTACTGCTGGTCAACAGTTTCTGGCTTGCATTTTAATATCCTAAATAAACTACTTACAAATATCAAGTTTATTGAATATTATTGACAAACTTGATATTAAATATCAAGTTGTTACCTAAAAACACAATGAGTGGAGTTACTATACCATTTTATTTGATTGTATGAATTCTGAGCAGGAAATATATGCACTACTTTATATAGTGCAGTCAGTGGCATGTCCACTACTTTCTGTGAGCAGTCTCAGTTTTCACATCTGTAAGAGATATTTCAGAGACAGCTATGGTTTAATTTTGATGATGATTTTGTCATTTAGCAAAACCATAGATTTGATTTGTAATAATTTCTTTCTTCTCTCCAAGACCATGGCAGTATAATTATGCATTTTTTCCCTTTAGACGTGTGTGTGTGTGTGTGTGTGTGCGCGCGGTCACATATGTGTGTACACCTTTAGATAGGTGTTAGTGATGTGTGGCCACTCACGAGCTGCATGATCTGCATTTCCCAAAAATGTAAAATCCTCTTAATGTGCAGATTTGTTGATTGCAAAAAAATTAATTATGTCAACACATTAATGCATTTTTATGGTCACTGCATCTTGTAATAAACAGGTACAAACTGCATCTGGGTCGATTGCTTAGTTTATATAAGCCTAGCTGTCTCACTATGGTGTGTGTTATTGGCTGCCCGTTTACTTGTTGCTATAGTGACTGACATATTCCAGTGTCTTTAAGCAGCTTGTCCTAAAGGCTAAGCTTAAGCCCTAGGATGTCTGCCATTTAAGAATCTTAATAAAGCCTTCTCTTTAACCAATAATAGACTAACACTGCTAACATCAGGATTGAATGCCATATTGTAGGGGCACATGCAGTATGTCCCCAGAATGAAGTCTAGAAGGTCAAGCAGATATAAATCCATGGTTCTGTGTCTTGAAGGGAGCATGTATAAATGTCAACATGCATCAGTGTGCCTATAACAAATGTCAATATGCCCAAATCCTTCTTTTACTACATTCCCTGATGACCTCTATTATCATGTAATACTCACACCACTTCTCTCTGTCCTGTTTTGCTTACACAGGTAGGAATGGACTGGGCTGTGGACTCTGGAAGCTAGTAACGACAGTCAATGAGGACATCCATCTTTGCCATCAGCAGAGTCTTCATGGACGACTATAAAAGTGCTCAATATAAGTCCTTTGAGATATAATATCAGTCAGTCCTTTTTTCTTTTCTCCCCTGCCCACCTTCTCGGGTCTGCCTGCCTGAAACTTTGGCCCTGAACTCTGACACCAGCAGACAACATTGAGTGATTGGTCATTACATCCAAGGGCGTCTACACAGCAAGACAAAAACATCCCTCGGGAGCCCCACTGCAGCTGGTGGTGGTGGTGGTGGTGGCAGGGGCGGTGAGTCAATCGCCTCAGCAGCTACAGCAAATGATTCATTATTTGTGAAGTTAACAGCTCAGACCACTTAATCTACAAGGACCAATTTCTTACTGGAGGGAATCGGTCCAATATGAAGGACGTGTCATTTGTGGATCGTCTCTTTGTCGGCTTGGCCATGGCCTCTTTTGTTGTGGCCACTGAGGAGAGGCCTGATTGCCCAAAGCTCTGTGTATGCGAGATTAGACCCTGGTTTTCTCCCAGTTCCGTGTACATGGAGGCACAGACAGTTGACTGTAATGACTTGGGACTCTTCAGCCTGCCGGAAAAATTACCAGTGGGCACACAGGTACTATTACTGCAAACAAACAATGTTGCCAAGATTGACAAACCCTTGGATTACCTGGCCAACATCACAGAGATTGATTTATCACAAAACAACTTATCCTCTATCAGTGACGTCCATCTGGGGAACCTTCCACAGCTGCTGTCTCTTCACATGGAGGAGAATTGGATACGAGAGTTGCCTGAGCGATGTCTGGCAGAGGTTGCTAACCTTCAGGAGCTCTACATGAATCACAACCTCATCTCCTCTATTTCCCCGATGTCTTTCCAGGGTCTCAGCAACCTTGTGCGGCTCCACCTCAATTCAAACAAGCTGAAGACCATTAAAAGAGAGTGGTTCGAACCCATGCCAAATCTGGAGATCCTGATGATTGGTGAGAATCCAGTTCTTTCTATTGATGATATGAACTTCAAACCTCTCAGTAACCTCCGCAGTCTTGTACTTACCAGAATGAACTTGTCTCAGCTTCCTGATGAGGCACTGGCTGGTCTTGATAACTTAGAGAGCATCTCTTTCTATGATAATATTTTCCCTGAGGTGCCTCATTCAGCCCTAAGAAATGTAAAAAATCTTAAATTTTTGGATCTAAATAAAAACCCAATTGCAAGAATACAGAGAGGGGACTTTGTGGATATGCTCCATCTGAAAGAACTGGGGATTAATAGCATGCCAGAGCTAGTTTCAATTGACAGCTTTGCTCTCAATAACCTCCCTGAGCTGACCAAAATAGAAGCCACCAACAATCCTAAACTCTCCTATATCCATCCTAATGCTTTCTACAAACTACCGCGCCTAGAAACCCTAATGCTAAATGGCAATGCGCTCAGTGCCCTCCACAGGATTACTGTCGAGTCCCTCCCAAATCTTAGAGAAGTTAGTATGCACAGCAACCCTATCCGCTGTGACTGTGTAGTCCGCTGGATGAACATGAACAAGACCAACATTCGCTTCATGGAGCCCGATTCTCTCTACTGTGTGGAGCCTCCAGAGTATGAAGGGCAGCATGTTCGACAGGTGCACTTCAGGGAGATGATGGAGATTTGTCTGCCACTCATCTCTCCCGAAAGCATGCCTGGGCATATTAAAGCACAGAATGGGAGCTCAGTGTCACTCCACTGTCGGGCCTTCGCTGAACCAGAGCCGGACATCTATTGGATCACCCCATCTGGTACCAGAGTCCTGCCAAACACAGTGTCTGACAAGTTCTACATGCACCCAGAGGGAACGTTTGACATCTATGATGTAACAGAAAATGAAGCTGGTCTTTACACTTGTGTTGCCCATAATCTGGTTGGAGCTGATCTTAAATCCGTTTCAGTAGAGGTGAATGGATATTTTCCCCAACCTGCCAATGGTTCTCTGAATATCGCCGTCAAATCAGTGGAGACAAACTCCATCCTGGTTTCCTGGAAAACCGGCCCTGGAACCCTGGCTCCCAACATTAAATGGTACACTCTGTCAGATGTCAACCATCCCACCACAGCGTTTACCACCAGAGTTCCTTCTGACATCCAGGTCTACAACCTCACCCATCTCAGCCCTGCCACTCACTACAAAGTATGTGTGGATGTCCGCAACATCCACTACAACCATGACACCAAATGTGTCAATGTCACCACTAAGGGATTAGAGCTGGCAGCCAAGGACACAGAAAAATGGGACGCAGCAGTAATCACCGTCTTTGGTGTGCTCTTGGCTGTGATTTCAGGGGCCTGTCTGCTTATTTATGTGTCTCTGAGGAACCACCACCTTTATGGGGATATAAGGAAATGCGACTCCAAAGCTTCGCTGACACCAGTGGAAGCTACCGGTATGCACTCTCCTTTCTTTACAAAGCTGTGGGTTTCGGGTAAGGGACTGCCAAGTGGAGTGGAAGTGAAAGCCACAGTCATAAATGTATCTGACAATGCTTTTTAAGAAGCGCAGCTTTGTGGAACACCACACACCAACTACACTGAATGGACAAGGCGATGGGCAGGGGTGGAGGAATCTGTAATACTGTTTCAAAGGCATACCCATTGCTGGTCCCTGGCTCAGATACACTGGCAAAACTATTACTGGACTGGGATGGAACTGTTTAAAATAGACTACATGCTCTCCCAGTTTCAACCGTAGCTGGTGGCTTTGTAACCGTTACATCAAACCAAGCTAACATCAACAGGAAGGGGCATTTACTGCAAAAAGATACATTTCAGTACCATTCATACAGAAATGCAGGCAGTGAAAAGGAAGTGAAGATGATGATGATAATGATGATGATGATGATGATGATGATGGTCAACTCTCTTGTAATTGACTGTTAAATGTGTTCAGAGTTGTGGAACTGTCTGTGTGGTCCCAAGCAATACCGTCTGTGCTTTGTCAAACATCCATAGACGAGTTAGAGATACAGTAATAACACCTGTCTATTATGGGAAGGGAGATTTAGTAGAGTAGACAAATAACAGTGACTATGGTGTAAGCCTTTTGATGAAATATACCCCCCCACCCCCCTTTTTCTATTTAAAAATGGATTCTTGATTTTTCATGGAAATACTGTTAGATATTCTATTATGTTGATGTAATGACAAATCCTCTGTATCTGAACGGTTTAAATGGGTTTTAAATTAAGGCAAGGAGCAGACTACTTTTGATTACAATGTCACATTAAGCTTAATGAAATTCAGTTACAAAATGGGCATCTAGAGAGGACATTTTCCAAATGGCTGTTTATGCTGTGTAGTTCTCATTGCAATGGTGACTGGGAAAAATGTGAATATGTTGGACTAAAAGAGATATAACAGGTTGAGAAAAAAAAACTGAGGTGACTGATTATTGCCGCTAGAAGCAGTCTGTTTTGCCCTGGTAAGTGCCTACAACAAGAACTACATGAGGTAAACAGAGAAGAAACTGAAGAAACATGTCAGTCACAGCAAAACATGGCCATGTCATCATTGCAAAATCACAAGCTATTCTCCAGTAATTTTAGTGGAAATACCTTCTCAGTATTTTTAGCATACATATTTTAAGAAAACATTTCGTTGTTGCTTTGGGTGTAAAGTTAAAAAGCCATTTTTATATTAACTGTATTATATGTGATCAATGGGCACAACAGACTAATTAACAAAAGTGCTGAGAAAAAAAATAAATGTCATTGTTTCTTTTACAAACATTTGCCTACTTTCTCTCTTTTGCTTTTTTCTCATATTAGTCATAATACATCTGGTTCATATTTGTTTTCTCCATCATTCAGCCATGGGTTAATGTGAAGTGTCTAATAACTTATGTGACATTTCAATTACAAGTATGTAAAACTAAATATTGATAATATCCAAGTGGTACAGAACAAAAAAACTGCCTTTTGAGTCAGTCCACAGGGAAAAAGTCAGGAGACTTTAGCTGAATGGTTGAATGGTCGTCCTTACCCAGAAAAAAAAAAAAAAAAAAAAACAGCAACAAAAGAACAGAACTCATTAGCCGCCTCATTAAGAACATGTTCGTCCTTCAGCTGGTCTGAATATAGTCACTGTGCTTCAGCTACAGCTGCTGCTGCTCCTGTTTAGACAGGGACACAGCGTCCCTACGACAGAGAGATAAAGTACAGTACTGAAAAGTCAACGGAGGGTTGGATAGAGCCGAGTCTAAGCTTTAGGACTCACATTTTATTTGTTTTACTGAATTACCCAGCACACAGAACATTTCACATGAGAAAGCCAAGCATGATGAATGGTTGTCAGAGGCAGAGTGACATGGCGTATTTATCAAACAGAGCCTTACGCTCATACATCAGGCCAGCCTTCAGCACCATGGACAGAGGCTTTTAGAGCCAAGGCATCTGTCAAAGACAAAGGAGTTAAAATATGACATGGTGCGCTCCTCAGGTAATGCTCAGGTCAGACTGAGTCTGTCTCTTTGCAAAAACAGGCACAAGTACAGATGTACAAACAAGCCTGGCAGAGCTAAAATCTACTTACATTTATAGAAAAACATGCAAAGGTACATGCGAACATGAATTCAAGGTCATTGATTGACATAAAGAGTTACGTATAGAAGCTGACAAAAATAGAACAAAATAGTCAAGGGCACACTTGATATACACACACACACACACACACACACACACACACACACACAACCTTTCATACCCAGAGGTGTAGCAGCTTCAGTCTCTCTTAGTCTGCGTGCTTGGAGAAACACAACATAACAGCCAAAGAAGCCACTAAATGAGTTGACTGACCAAACATGTTCTATGAAATTAAAGCAGCTCATGGATATTAGCCTTATTGTTGTTGTTGTTCTTTTTTTTTTTTTTTTTTTTTTTTTTTTTTTTTTTTTTTTTTTTACAACTCATGATTTGATTACATACTTGAGTGAATAAGCTTAATGTTATCTGGAAACTCATCTCTCCTGCTTTCTGTCCCAATCTTATGCATTTCCACAATCTCTCTTTCCTCTGGCTTACTCTCCCTCTCTCTCCCATCACCGTCGACACTCTCCCTCCACTGGCAGGCATATGACCTTTTTTTTTTGTCTGAATTTGAACATTCAAAGCAACCTATATTAGACAAATACCCTGTGGATTTAACTTAAATCCCATATGAAAAGAACCAGTGAGCTGTCACCATTTAATCCACAGTGTTTCTCGCTGAATCGTCAAATATTTCAAATATTTCAACTATTTCAAATATTAAAACCTCCTTGTTCCTTTCAGAAAAGCCATCTGCACTGAGGCAGATATTAAAGCGTGCTCAGTGAAAGCTTAGAGTTGGGTGTTCCTACTGGTTACATATTCATTTTAATTTTCTGAGGATCATTGTCAGACGGCCTGAGATTTGATGGTGCAATCCAACAGTGGTGGGTGCAAGTTCAATAGTCTATTTATTTATTTAAACACAAGGCAATCATTAAGTCAGAGACTGGCAGGTAATTTCCTTTCTACATTACTAGATAGAATAAATGTGGAAAAATGTAATACTGGAAATGTGAATCCTTGAGCCTGTTTAATATTGCTGAGTTGATTCAGACCTGCTATTACAACAGAGCACACGTAGGAACACTACTACAATTTCCTAGAGTGCGTACAATGGTACTATTTAAACACAATGTACTTAATAGTTCTCCAAGTAACACACATTCATTATAGTTTTATTCAGACAACAGCCTGATTTCATAATAAATGTTTTTTTTTCTTTTTTGAAAGCTGCAATTAAATATTTAATTTACCCTCTATCTGAGATGAGATAAAATATTCCTACAGCACTGCAAGGGCTGCAGAAAGCAAACAATGTTCACGCTGCTATAGGCACTTTTATATGTTTGAATTATCAGCCTATTAAAGTTACAAACTTCCACGTAGGTCAGCCAGTGTAGCTACAGGCAGCCACATTCCAATGAAAAGTGAAATGTCAACATGCATTTACAGTCCTGCTGCTAGCACTATGTTTAATGCCACTGCTTGCTTTTAAGAGGCCTTTATAGCCAGCTATTGGAAAAACAACCAGATGACCTATGGACTGCAATAACAAAGCACTGATTTCTTTCATGACAGAATAAAAATGTATTTGCCTCTTGGACCCTGTATTAATTAAAGCAACAGTTTTGCTGCAGCAGTGTAAATTGTTTTGTGTCTCATCACTTGGAGCTGATGTTAGTGCCGATGACAGGTGAATTTTTTCATGTATCATCAGTGAGCCAGTGCATCGCAATTCTGAACATGCATTGCTGTGTATTTCCTGAAAAGTAGAGACAGAATGTCACAGCAGATTTGGTATGGCTCATCAAAGAGCAACCAGTCAAAAGCCATTTGTATGTGTGCATTTCTGCTCCGTCTGGCCTCTTCCTGTCTCTATTTCCATAATCATCACTCCCAACGTGTGCAGCTAAAAATGATGTTCTTTTCTTCCAGTCTAGGCAGTGCGTGGTTAGAATTGCATGAACATGCACACACATCCATGTGTGGAACTCCATTTACATACAGTGCAATACCAAAACACACAGCTACTTTATGTGAAGTAATTTCGAGTTTGAACAAACATGAGATTAGAATTGCTTTCATATTTACAATTTGCATGACATCAATGAATTTCCACATATAAAAGAGGAGGGAGCCCACTGATTTAGACAGCCATGCAAATTAGAGGTTTCTCAGCGTAAGTAACCCAACATATTGACAAATACCCGGCCATAAATCTTGTTTAGGTCAGTGAAAAATCAACCTGGATTGAATGTGGGAACGATATGACTCCACAGAGGGCTTTTCCGCTAATTGGAATACCCATTGTCAAACTGATGATTGGTTTCCTGGGCTACTGATTGATTGCTGCCTCCCTTTGTCTCGCTGCAGTTGCCTCTATGAAGTGGGGATGCAGCCTGTGCCCGGATCAGATCGATGCAGGCACTAATGAGTTATTCACGTACATGTGCTCACATTAATAATGGATTGGGATTGGGGGGAAGAAAAAAAAAATGGGTAAGAAGGGTCCTAACAGGCAAACATGTAAGTACATGCAGGAGCCCTCTTTTCTTAGTAGGTTTAACAAAGTATTGTCAGCCTCGCGGCGCACAGGCACTGTCGCCTCCATCAGATTCATTAGCGCTATGAGACCATCGACATTCACGGCAGCCGGCATTAATCATCAGTGAACATTAAATTCCTGTTGTGAAATGGTTGAAGAGGCACCTATAGTTATAGTCTCTGTGTAAGTACCACCTTTTTACTGCAGGCTTGCTCACCTAATGCTTCACTCAGATCCGTCTGTAAAAATACCGGCTGCAGACTTTTCTCTCCATTAGGATGATGGAAGGCTTCAAGAAGAGTTAGGTAATACTTGTTCAATGGAGCTTTGAGGTAAAGTAGACCTGTCTCCAGGACGTTTGAGATTTAAATAATGAATGCCTATAAAACTAATATTTGCAAACACATGCATAAATGCTAATTTACTCACTGGTAATTATGCACTGGCCAAAGTGATAGAGCATCTGTGCCAACTGTCACAATTTTTCAAATAACCAGGGGAGCATGTGAGGGGAAAAAAACGTAAAATGATGGGGAAACTATAACCTTATGGAGTTTATGTTTAATTTAAGCCAACAAATAGAAGAGGTTGTGTGAAATTGTTATTTTAAGATGTCTTATGTTAAAAGGTGTAGTAGTCATTTATCAAGATCCTTTGGTTAAAGATACAGAAATGTACAGGAAAAAGAAACCTAAATATAATTGTTTTGGGTGTCTCATTAAAACCACTTCGGTACCATTTTCCTTGACTTGCTATTTTTTTTTTCTCAGGCTTACTTTTCGCAGCAATTACAAGGCCATAAATTGCAGCTTTTCTGAGAGGAGAAAACTAAATTAAGCAATGAACATCAACAACAAAATAGTCTAGGCATAGTACACAAAGAGCATGACAGGGAAAAAACATCAATGTTGCTCAGATGCACAAAAATAAAAACAGATGTACAGTTTTGTTTTGAGATTGCTGGCACATCTAAATGACTTTGTGTTTCTGTTGACTGGTTAGTGAAGTGTCGACACAGACTGGCAGAAATAAATACAAAAAAAATTTAGAGAAATCAAGTTGAAATGAAAATAGGCCTATAACCTCCTACTGTATTAATGCTTGTCATATGGCTTGGACCTCATTCCTCAAACATGGCTTAACTAATCCAGGCTAACATGATATTAGTCACCTAAAATGATCCTGTTAGTTCTCATTCATCTAGTTTGGTTCCTCTTGGTGCCGCTAAAGGTTTGATTTGTTAATCCTGGATGAAATTATCTGGAATAACCTTTTCAAACAAAGGCAACATGAGTAGAAAGCTAAAACAATCAACGCTCATATAACTGGCTCATTATATGATTGCACCTATGCGATGCGCTGGTATGGCAACACGGACACATACTGTCTATTTTATTTGCAGCTGTACAGTAGTTAATTTACAGCTGATGACCAACATCAAACATATTGTAACGATGAAAAGAAATCTGGAAAACTCATGAGGCATTTTCAAATTCAGTACATGAATGTGTGTGTAAGCACATTTGATACATTTTAGAGGTAAAGACAGCTCCTGTGATAACATAATTAGACTTAATGATATCATTTACTTCCATTCTTTCACTCTTCAATTATATTTTCCTTATTTGTATCCTTTGTCTCT